TCACACTTGACACAATTTTAGCTGAGTTTGCAAAAATCATAAAAGAAAATTTATGTAGTTTTGCAGGAGATACTAATTTACAAGCAGATGCAAATTATATTTTGACTAAATTAGAACAATGTAATATTTGTCTTTTTGAAGACTATGTTCAAACTTTTAAAAAATATTATCATTTTATTGATCCACCAGCAAATTAACCCTGGTTAGATCAATTTTTTCATAAACTCCCTAATCCATGGAATGAGTTATGTATTAAAACATATCCTGATTTTCTCAAAAAAAATGGGGAAAGAAGAATATGATAATCTTAGTTTTCGCATTAATTATATTCTAAGACTGATAGCAGATCGGTGTCTAGAAGCAAAGGCGAAAAAATAAATAAAAAATCAAATTTTTAACTCACAATATGGTCAAAAATGTAGTGATAAAATTTTAAAAGAAAATTATAAAATTGGTTGTAATACATTTCCTAAACGAAAAGGATTTTTCGAAAAACACAGAAAATATAAATGGAAACCTTGGAAAAAGAACAAAACTTTTTCAAAAAAGAAAAAGTATATTCGAAAAAAGAAACCAACAAATGTTTCAAAAAAGAAAACTTGTAAATGTTACATATGTAACGAAGAAGGTCACTATGCACCCGAATGCCCAAAAAGGAAAAAAAGTGCAAAGAAAATGATCAAAGTTCTTGAAGAACAAGATTTTGAAATAATATATGGTGAAGAAATTTCTGATGAAGAAGAAATCTTATATGAAATTTTTAGTAATGAAGAAAGTTCAGATGAAGAACTAATCTTGATGATGATTAATATTAATAATCAAGAAATATGTCAAGAAGGAGATAGTATATCTCAAGAAGAATTACAGGCAATTCGACTTGGAGATGTAATCGGAGAAGAAACAACTTTTACTGACGAAGAATTAGCAAAATTTAAAAAAATGTAAGAAGTTATTGTTCCAGAAATTTATAAACTTTTAAAATTCAATTTCTTTTCAGCAAGAGTGTTTGAACAATAGAGTGGTAACTCTCAAGCTAAATGATCAGAAGAATGAAATATTAATATTCATTTTTTTGATAAAAAAAAAGTTGCAAGTGGAAAAAGAAACATCCTGAAATTCAATATATTAATATTGGATTAATTTAAGTAACCATAATAGCCTTATTTCGTCAAGGGATAAATACTCCTATTTTGGTAGTAATTTTTGATATAAGATTTTCCGACCCAATGAAAGCAATCATTGGAGAAATCCAATCTAATTTGGCTAATGGGGTAATTTGGTTTAATGTTAGACTAAATTTCTTTATTTCCATAAATGATCGTAATCTTGAAGACACAGTTAGAATAAGAATTAAAACACAATGATTAGGAATGAAATCAAATTCTCATGATTTGGTTATTCGTTGGAAAACAATTCACGAATTGACCAAATTTCCTGAAACAAAAACAAGATCAAACGATAATAAAATCATTGAAATCTTTGAACCAAGACCATTTGACACGGTAATACAACCTCAACTAATGAATTGGAGCGATTTAGAAGTCCCTCGACAATGGTTAATCCATGACATAGTAGGACAAGGAGAATCTTCTTAAACAAAAAATCCTTTACAATTACAAATGCAAGTATCAGGAAAAAATTTATATATTGAAAATACAGTTCCAAAAATTAAAAGATCAACTTCTACATTTGAAAAAGATCTTCCTAACAAATCATTTTCAAAATTAAGCATTGGAGAATCGAGTAATAATTCTAATCAAGAGTCTATTACTTCAAACAATGTTCAGATTCTTATTTTTTCAGGAACAAGAAGGCAATTTGAACATATTAAGTCTGCATATATGTGTCATTTTCAAACAAAAAATGATGATATTATTTTTTCTCGTAACCAAGGAAAAAGAAGATACACATGTATTGAGAACATTTAATTTTGCAGGTTATAAACCCTATAGGCTTAGTGTTCTCATAGACACGAGCCACAATCAGTTCATGTAAATGGAATGACATACCAAAACAAAATAGACATTAATAAAACATCCAATGTTGGTTACTGGAATTGATGGCAACCATACGTCCATACAATTCAAGGTTAAAAATATAACTATTTGGTTAAATGATAGTAAGTTTATTATACCAAAAATTCTATTTTTTCCTTATATGCACGGAGATTTCCTTCTTGGCAATAATTTTATGTATAAATACCTTCCAATGCAAATACAGGAAAAAGCTATTTCATTAAGCATAAACAATGTCTTAATTCATATTCCCTTATTAGAACAACATAAATACAATTGTGATAAAGAGTTTGTGCCCGTTCCGCGTTATGATTTAACCCCCATTATCAAAACCATTGATGAATTACACTGGATTTATAAAATTTTAGAAGAAATTTTTAGTGAACATCCATTAAAACTATGGCAACGTAGTCCACGTTATTGTAGTTTGAAATTAAAAGACCCTAATGTTATCATTAGAGTAAAACCAATGATCTATACTAGACAAGATATAGATGAATATGATCTATACTAGACAAGATATAGATGAATATGATCTATACTAGACAAGATATAGATGAATATGATCTATACTAGACAAGATATAGATGAATATGATCTATACTAGACAAGATATAGATGAATATGATCTATACTAGACAAGATATAGATGAATATGATCTATACTAGACAAGATATAGATGAATTTGATATTCAACTCCAGGAACTTCT